GGTCGATAAAGACTTGCACGAGATTCGCGTACTGAAGAAGTACTTCCCCAAGGCGCGTGTGTTGATCTGCTTCTTTCATGAGCAAGGTGTCAAATTCTGCACTTGGCTGCTTCAAAACGTGATAAGCACCATACCTTCAGTGCAACATCCTGTGTTGGAAAACATGGTAAACCAAGTGGCGAAATCGAACCCACAGAGCACAATCGTGATCGAGGCCACTGAGTATCACTACGCGATGCTATACCGCTTGAAGCCACCATCCTGAGCGAACGACGCCTTGATACATGCTTTCTGCACAAGACTGTGTGCAACAAACCCTACTGCTCGTGTTCTGGGGATTGAGAGCACGGTGACGGGGCGAAATGCCAAGGGCATGAATGAATCCCTCAAGAAAAAAGCGCAAGAGCTGGTGGGAGAGGCAGACCTCCTTATGATTCCGGTTAACGTTGGAAATTCGCGGAATTGCAGTAGATGTGAAGCGAACTCGAGTCCTTTATTATGACTCCATGAACCAGAGGACTTACAAGACCGTGCTGGATCGACTGTCCTGGGATTTGGCGAAAACCCTGACCGACGACTATGAGGTTGTATCCATCAACGCGCCAATTCAGACGGACGGCCACAACTGTGGTTTCTTCGTAATGCTACGACTCTGGCGAATGGTAGACAATATCATTGCGCTGGATGTAACTCCAAAAGGTCTCACGATATTGCGCTTTCACATGCTTCAGCTAGTGCTCCATGGTAGATCTAACTAGCCCATCTAATTTGAGTCTAAATACACGGAGGATATCTGACCAATGCATGGACTCGATACATGGACTATAATACTAACGTTACCTGTGTTCGTGTTCATGCCTAATGCACGGGTGATTTATGGATTATACGTGGACTCAATACATGGACTACAAAATTGACAATGCAACTTAGCAGCAACTTGATGCGGTGAAAAACTGATCGGCGGTAAATACTTGATTTCAGTATGGATATAAATTACGCAGAACGTAATTTATGGACAACACCTGGCGTGGCTGCATGGTAAAAGCATACAGTCGGCGCATGGACAGTAGCATCTGCCAAAAACATATACCCCAGATTTTTCGGTGAAGGGTTAAAACAATGCGGTATTCCACATAGTTTAAACATATATTATTCCGATTGCATGTACAGTACCTCTAAAACTTGTTCGTTCAGATTTTATCTTTTTGCGTCGATAGTGCAAATGGGCATCAGTAGCTCACAATACAGTACTACCGGCCCAGTGCCGAAAGGGGCCCGTTATGGATCTGCAGGTCATCCACAAGAGCAATGTAATATTTTACTCTAGTACTGCAGTCTGAAGCAACGATTGTGATTTTGGTTGTCACATGCCCCAACGAACAAAATCTTTCTGCTCTGGTGAGCACTATGAGAGAGAAAAATCTTCAGAACGCCGCTCTGCACGCTTCGAAGGCTGCTAGCTGTGCTTGTTTGGCTACATGTACATTACTTCTTGTGAGCGATTGCGTTGGTTTGAACACCTCAACCTGTCGAACGGGCACGAATGGTTTGCGAATGCCCTTTGATGGATTATCGGGTGGAGCTACAAAATGGTCGAGTCTTAGCAAGTGTTGACGCCTAACATTTTGCCATCGCTGCGGCACCTTGTCACGTACTTAAGTATGTACTTATTAAAAACCACGTAAAAGGACTCAAGTGAAGCTGATATTCCCTGGGTAACTGTAAAAAATCGATTTGCACTGCAAACTGACAAGGCAACGAGCAGTGAATAAATAGTTAAGAGCACAGACAGTCGAGAAGATACTGCCTTTAACTCCCTTTACATTCTGACTTGTCCTCGTCATTGTCATTTAGCCGTATCAATGGATATTACCCACTTTCGGCACCTCATTGCACTCGAAAACCACCTGTTGAACGTATGTCAATGGTTTGTATGGTGACAATACGTACTACAGTACGTGCAATCACGCTTCCCGCGCCACGAAAAACATGCGTCGACATATCAATATGATCGACGAAATGTTTTCGCTGCAGGAAGCGTGATCGCAAGCATCTTGTGAAGCAAAATTGTTTTCTAAACCGATAAATTGAGTTTTAAACAAAAAAATGTTTCTTTATACGTTGATGATTTAATAGGCAGAGGTAAATGTAACATCATCGTCATGCTGTATTATGCTTGCATTGGTCTGCAATTACCAACCGCTGCTTCGTGAATTGTCCCCATACGAGACTCGTACCAATGATGATGATGGTACTAGTAACGAGTACAATCATCATCATCACGTATTATGTTTGCTGTTTCCTGCACGTATTTTTTCAGTGAATAAGTGGACAGGGGCTCTATCATTAGCAGTAGCGACTTTTGCGAGTGGGTTTTCGTAAAATGTTCAATTTAAGTATTTCACTGTCGACTTCCTTCACAGTAAAAAAGGAGCTCAATAAATAAGTTAAGATATATGCAAGTTTAGTATCAAACCGAGAAATGTATCCCGAGCTTGGGTCAAAAGCGTCGACAACAAAAGAAACACACCCTATACTATATCGTGAGAATCGGTCGTCACGATGATCGTGTCTGTATGTTTAAGATTGTGAATTCGATGGGCTAAGCTGTTGCTCGCGCAAGATATGTTTTCGAAGCGGAGCACTGCTTTAATAAGCTAAGTAATGGAGCAAGCAAGCATGTGTTGTTCAGTACGACATGCAATGTCGCGATTAAATAATACCGTCTTAAGTAGCCCCAGCATCATTTACCAATTTGTCCAGTAGCTCACTACTGCCCCCACTACCTCTCAAGAACATCTACGACGCCCTGCTGCTGATCAATTCATCACCATGGTTAAGATTCGAACCGGCACGGTTGTCTCTGTGGTGGCTCTGCTCGGTTTTGCTCTTAGCATAACTGGAGCAGACGATTCGTGGGGTGACATGGCACAGTACGCAGCTAATTCTCATGAGCAGCAACCGACAGATGCACCTGTTACATTGGAGGGTACCGGTAGCAAGGAATCTGAAGACGACCAAAAGCCTGCTGACAATGACGACGACACCACGGACGCACCTTCAAACTCCTGGTCGCCAGCTTCGTCTAACGAAGACTCCGATAACGATACACCTGATGCCTCACGGGAGTCGAGTGGGGAGTCCGATGATAACGGTGACAAACTCTCCTCTTCACCATTGTCTAGGGAAGGTCAAAGCTCAAGTGAAAACGCGAATGGAAACAAGGACGGATCATCAAAGTCAACTGATACTGGTGGAGATTCATGGAAGCAAGAACCTGTAGCCTCGTCGGACGGCAGCCAAACCGGTGGCAGTACCCCTCCTTCGTCCGGCAGTGGAAAGGTACCCGACGGCACCTGGCCTACGAGCACCGGAATCATCAAATTCACCGAGCCACGCATCATTAAGGCTGGAGAAGTTTCGACGGCAAGATGCAGACGTTCGACCGTTCGGATGTTACCTGTTCGGAAGGTGAGGGGCAGAAGGACACAGCCGTGTTCCTCGTCGAGGCCGGGGGCACTCTGAAGAACGCCATTATCGGTAAGAACCAAAAGGAAGGAGTGCACTGTGATGACCATGACTGTACCATTGAGAATGTGTGGTGGAACGACGTGTGTGAAGACGCTCTGAGTGTCAAGGGCGGAACCGCTTCCAGTGTGACTACAGTCACTAATTGCGGCGCCCGATCGGCCCCGAACAAGGTGGTGCAACACAATGGTCAGGGCACAGTCAACATCGACGGCTTCTACGCCGAGGAATTTGGTAAGCTCTACCGTTCGTGCGGTACTTGTGGTGACGTTCCCCGCATCGTGACAATCAAGAATGTGTACGCGGTAGACCCTCAAGTGAGTGTTATCACGGTGAACAAAAACTACGGTGACAAGGCTACACTTAGCAACATTTGGGTCAAGACTTCGGACGGCAGCAACGAAGTCAAGGTGTGTCAGTGGTCCCAGGGAGGAGCCAAACCCTTAAACCTTGGTGACGGTCCATTGCCACCTCTGTGTCAGTACTCGGAGAGCGACGTGCACATTAACCAGGATATTTCTGAATCTGGTGCTTCATCGCCCAGCGCACCCTCTGCTCCGGACAAACCATCCGACGGCAGCAACACTTCTCAGCTCTCCCAAAAGACTCAAACTCCTGTCGACTCCAAGGACTCGAGCGACAAGAATGAAGATGATAGCGAGACCGAAGATTCATCTGGTGACTCGGAGACACCTCCAAACAGTAGCCAAACCTCGTCCGATGCACCCGAAACACCTCCAAGCGGTGGCCAGACATCGGGTGGTGCAACTTCTGCAGCGGGTAGCCAGACCACCGCAGGAGGCGGCAGTACTCCTTCTTCGGGCGGTGGGAAGGTACCTGACGGCACTTGGCCCATCAGTACCGGAAGCGTCCAATTCACTGAGGCACACGTGATCAAGGCTGGTGAGATTTTCGACGGCAAGATGCAAACGTTCGAGCGCTCCGACGTATCGTGCGAGGGCCAAACGGAGAGTGGTTCCGACACCGCTGTCTTCATGATGGAACCTGGTGCCACCCTCAAGAACGCCATCATTGGCAAGAACCAAATGGAAGGTGTCCACTGTGATAAGCACGACTGCACCATTGACAATGTCTGGTGGGATGATGTGTGCGAGGACGCCCTCAGCATCAAGGGCGGAACCGCCTCCAGTGTGTCCAAGGTCATTGGCGGTGGCGCCCGCTCTGCCGATGACAAGGTGATCCAGCACAACGGATAAGGCACCGTCGAGATCGACGGCTTCTATGGTGAAGATATCAGCAAGCTCTACCGTTCGTGTGGCACTTGTGGTGACAGACCGAAGAAGGTGTCATTGTCCAATGTGTACATCGTAAACCCGGGCAACGCCGTCGTGACGGTGAACAAGAACTGGGGTGATGAGGCCACACTGAGTAACATTTGGGTCAAGTCCAGCGGAAAGAAGAAGGTGAAGATCTGTCAGTGGTCTCAGGGCAATGCAGACGGCGAGCCATCCATGCTGGGTGATGGTCCGTCTCCGCCACTGTGCCAGTACTCCGAGAGTGACGTGCATATCAACGGCGACGTCTCTCAAGCTGCTGGTGGTTCGACTCCAGCGTCTTCAGATGACGACAACGCTGAGCAAACACCCGGCACTGTGGCTCCCGCTTCACCCAACGATGACAATGACGAAACCTCGCAGAACACTCAACCTTCGAAAGCAAGCGGAGACGGTGACGACAAAAATGAGGCTTCGTCAAAATCTAGCAATGGCAAGTCGGACGAGAGCAAGGCCGACGACAACAACAAGCAAGACGACACGAAATCATCGAAGGGTAACGACAAGTCGGATGAGAGCAAGTCCGACGACAACAAGTCCGGCGACACGAAATCATCGGAGAACGGCGACTCGACGCAACAGGGGGAACCCGCCGGAGACGAGAGTGTAACTCAGTCGGAGGTTTCTGACGAAGCTGGTGCTTGGAATGAGACATCCACCGACGAACCCGGTGTAGACGCGAACTTTGCTAACCAGGACCCCACGGTAATTTCGACCCCTTCGACCAAAACCAAGTGCAACGGCCGCCGCAAGAGGAACTGAAGCAAGCGCCAGCGATGGCACTGACGCTTTAATGTAGCTGGCTTCGAGTAATGTCGTAGTTTGTCCAAGAAAAATACCTTTGACGTCTTTTTTTTCTTCGCTAAGTTTTCAGCATCCAATCACATCCTACCACAGCAACTTTAATATGTGCCAGCACTGCTGACTCAGCAGACCTCAGCACAACTGACCAGGTAGTTCTTAGTACATGATATGTACTAAGAACTACCCGGTAACGCTACTATATTATAATAGCGTTAGCTTAAACCTTTGGAACCAAGACCCCCAGAAAAGAAACAGGAAAATCCAACACCACCAACGCTCCAAAGACACAAGCACGTCCGAAAAACCATATAAATCAAACTCCAAAATTGAGTAAAATAGTGTAAAATACTCGCAGAACTTCAGAGGTATTTTTATTCACTTTTCTCCTTCTTTTGGGCGCCCCAACTGGGGCCGGTTTTAAACGATGCTTTCCACCAGTGACTTTATATGTAAGTAGATACAGCACACGGCCGTACAAAAGCCCAACAGTGTCCAAGTCACGGTCCCAGCTTTTTAACGTTTGAGAGCCGTGCCAGTGGCAAACATACAGCGATGCAAGCTCATCACTCTAACGTCGGACTTCTCTTGCGGAAGTATTGCGAATGCTACGCTTTCGACCTCTTGAAAAAACAGAGGACAACAGATTCCTAGACCATGCAGCGAGTCGGGCCGATTCAATGCCAACGGAGATGGGTTCGTCAATAGAGACCATCAACTGAGAAATTGACCAATTGACTGCTTAAGATCTCGAGATCGGGAAGCGTTGAACGTCGCTTGGGATACTTACCTGAGGTAGGTATTATAGTACCTCCTTCTGAAGTTGTAAATCGTTTACATGACGGCAACGGAGCTGTTGTGAATATTTCTGGCGCATTCCCCATGAGCAAATGCCCTCCACATGAAGAAGTCCAAGAGGACTCCAGGACTCCTCACTGAGGACACGAGATAGCTACAGTACACTTGAGCTTTGGCAGATGATGCGGACTTCAGCGATACCGGTATGTCCAGACTGACACGCCATCTGATCGGCCGACTGCCGAGAAGTTCACCATACACTGCAGCCTGTTCAGTGAACAGTGTTCATATGCAGCCAAACCCTCCACATTGACCTCGCCGTGGACTTCAGCACAAGTCGCCGACAATCAGCCGCCCAGGATCGCCACTACGGGATCTGCGGGCAGTTCTCAAAGGTGTAAGTTACACTGACTCGGTCAAACTTTGCACACAAATCGAAGCAACTCCCATTCAGCAACTGCTCTGTACATCGTCGAGTTCATTTCCCTCTCTTCGCGCAACGTCTCACAACCCATTGCACAGAGACGAGCCATTCCGCACTCGCTATTCTTCACAATTGCCAAAGGCAGCAGGCGATTCCGCGCTCCCAGGCATCAATTCCCGATATCTGCCACCAAGAGTGACGGTCCTTGCAGCGCACCAGTGCGGAGTCCGTGTACTCGCCACGTTAGACTGGCGTCTACTAGCCCGCATTAGATACGACGATGCCTGGAGCATCCGCCACCATGAAGGAGCCTCCCGCTGTGGACGTGGACGCGCTGCTTCCTGAGACTCCAGTAGGCGCCATCGCTACGCTCACGTCTGCACGTGACAAGGCTCAGGCCCTCGCACGTGCTCAGCATCCACCTCGACTCTTTGGCGGGTATCTCCGTAAGCGCTACTCAAGCAGCATGTACATGGGTTCGTGGCGCTTCTGTGTGCTCCAGGGTGCGCGTCTACGCTGGTACCGCAGCAAGGAATGCGCCGAGACGGACACACAATTGCGTGGAGAGGTTTGGGTGCAGAGCATTGAGTCCTGGGACGGTCGCACCGCGCTCGGCACGTACCCGCACGCCTTTGCAGTGCGTACAACGTCCAAGAAATTGTTGCTTTGCACGGCCGAGACGCAGCAAGATCGCGATCGGTGGCTACAGCATTTAGAACGAGCTCTACAGCGCTCCAAGAACACAGCAGAGCTGTTAGCGGCCGTCAGCAGCGACGATGGGGGACGACGGATCGTCCCTGGAGACATGAGACCACCTCCCACGCCCTGTGCTTTCCAGGAGCGACCCGCAGCGGGCTCCGACGCTACGTCCATTCGGTCAGCGCCGTCGGATTTAACGTACGGACAGTCGCTTGCTCTGGGAGATGCTGGATGCGCCGAGTGTTTCGTACGTTTCCGGCCACTCATGACGCGTCGCGTGCTCTGTGGCTCGTGCGCGCGCGCCTTCTGTGCGCGTCACTGTAACCACGGCATTCGTCTGCAACATCTTGGACTTCGGGCGGCAAGACGCTGCTGCGACCACTGTACTCAAAGACAGGAGTTCATAAGCTACTTACGCTCGTCCAAGCGGTTCCTGGGACCTCTGGCGAGTCGTGGCATCTCGATGGACGCTCTGGTGGCTCGTACTGACGCTAGGAACCAGACAGGGGACATGTTTGCTCGGACACTGCACAAACTTCGACATGGATCCATGACACTCAACAAAACCATCAAAATTTTGTACCAAACGAGGAAGAAGCCGCATCTGTTCCGTGTGGCGTGTGAACGCCTGCCATTCTACACTGAAACGTGTGTGGACCGTGTCGAGAACTTGTGGTACCAACTGTTACATCTCGTCCAGTGCTTAGATGCTGAGCCAGCGCCTCGTTGTTCGGCTCAGCTGTTCTATCTGCAGCGATACATCCGTGCAATCTGTCGTCGCTGTCCTCGAATTGCACTGCAGACGATTTGGCACGTCCAGGCGTCCGTGGGGGACGGAAACTACCACAATCTACACCCACACACGCTGTTATCGCTGCTGGGCTTCATCTATCCGAACACGACCCTGCCAGAGAGCTCGAGGATGTTCAGTATCTGGAAGGATCTGGTGTTTGCGGACTGCCCCGAGCATCAGCTGGCTCAGATCCTTGCGGACCTACGGGAAATCAACGCACACATGGAGAAGTTGATCTCGCTGGAGCCGGATTCGATGAATGAGCGATGGCTGAACGCCAGAACGTTGCCCCAATTCGAGAACTGTGCTGCAGAGCTTGCCGCGTCGGGGATTGAGCTGTGTGAGTTCCAGTCCAGTATTCTGTACGACTCGTTGGATGTTGATAGTAGCAATCTGTCGGATGAGCCTGTAGGAACGGGGATCGAGTCGCTGGTACTGGAACAAGTGAGTTTTGTGCAGTCGCTAGCAGCTATAAGTGAACGTCTGCGTCATATTCAACCTGTTTCGGACCGTGGGAAGTATTTAGCGGGGGAATTGGAGACGCTGAACAACTCACTTCAATCCTCGGCGCTTTACCCGCTGAGTGCGGCGTCCGACGAGCTGTACCAAGTGGTGCGGATCCCACCGACCGAAGGCAAGGTCTTCTCCACTAAAATGCGTGCTCCTACTTTAATTTTCGTCGAGACTGTTCCAGTACAGAGCGGTGGAGCGATTGGTCTTGATGACACTGACACGGAACGTCTCCGTCCTTTCGTATTCAGCTCTCACCCTCGCAATTCAACCTTCTTCGAGTCTGCTGTGCTGGATGAAATCGAAGCTTCTGCAGTGTCTTCGAGTGGAGAGACAATGTTGTCGCCTTACAGCAGCTCCACGCTTGCTACACCTACGCCGACTAGCAATGTTGTGGCTTGTCCAGATGACGGAGCTGCAAGTGGCGCTGGATCGGAGGGCTTGTTGGATCGGCACACGAATGGACGAGATGCAGCAGCACCAGCTACTGGCAGACGCCACACAGGCATCATACCTCACTTACCCCAGCCAAGTCGTGGTAGCAAGATGGGTGCAGGAGCTCGTGCTGGACGTCTAGGCATTGAGAACTTTGTGTATGACAGCAAGATATTTGGTGAGAGCTGGGAGGAGCGCAAAGCGCGCATTCGGAGTGAGTCACCGATGGGGGAACTGCCTGGATGGGACCTATTCTCCGTGATTGTCAAGACCAACGACGACTTGAGGCAAGAAGTGTTCACCATGCAGCTCATCCACAAACTCAAGTCCATTTTCGAGTTCGAAGCACCGCAGTTGTGGCTCCGAACCTACCGGATTGTCGCCACTGGCGCCAATATTGGTTTACTGGAGACAATTACAGATGCCTGCTCGCTGGATTACCTCAAAAAGACATTTCCAGGAGGAAATCTGTCCGAGTACTTCCGCAGCGTGTACGGTGGTGACCCGTCCAACTCGGATTTCATCGCTGCGCAGCGTCGATTCATCGAGAGTTTGGCTGCGTACTCCATCGTGAGCTACGTTCTACTGCTTAAGGATCGTCACAACGGCAACATCTTGCTCAGCTCCGAGGGTCGCGTGATTCACATCGACTTCGGCTTCATTCTGGGCATCGCTCCTGGCGGAATGTTCAGTATCGAGGACGCTCCGTTTAAGCTGACAAAAGAGATGGTTGACGTCATGGGAGGCCTGGGATCACATGGCTACAAGCATTTCCGCAACTGCTTGTGTGAGGGCTTTGTGGTGCTTCAGAAATACCACTCGGAGATCGCTGCCCTGCTACAAACAACAGGTCAGCATTCCCCGTTCCCTTGTTTCCACGGCGCGAAGCTAGCGCGTGTTATTGCCAGTTTGCGCACGCGTTTGTGCGTCGGTCTCTCACGACGAGAAATCCGTCGCCGCGTAGACCATTTGATACGTAAAAGCTACAACGCCTGGGGAACGCGACAATACGACTCGTTCCAATTGCGCAGCAACAACATTCATCCGTAGACGTCGACATGGTATCGACACGTTATTGTCCAAGGCTTTGTCAGCTACCGATCGATGGTAGCTGAGTTACAGCGCCACCTGTAAGTATTTTAGTGGCACATTCATTTTGCGTCGATTAATGCAGTACGTAGTTTTTGGTTTGATTTAAGGTTTCTAGGCAAAAGTCTGGTCTGGTCAGGTACGCTGCATGACCTTGGTGAGATGTTTGCGAATGTTCTCGTTGTCTTCAGTGAGCATGACGTTCCTGGTGAGTAACTCGGCACATCGTCGCTCAACTTGTTCCAGCAACTTCATCCAGTGAGCTTTGGTGCTTGACAGTCGTGATTCGAGTTGGCTCTTGGCAGCACGCAGGGTTTCTAGTTCGTTGGGGTCGGCCACGTTGGTTTCTTTCTGCTCGCGTCGCAGGTTTGCATTCTGAGCCTCCAGCTGTGCTAGTATCAGTGCTTGTTCCGAGCGCTGCTGCATCTCTGCTGCGAGTTGTTGTTTTGCAGCTTCAAGACGCGCATGAAGCTGCTGTATTTCATCTGTAGCATGAACTCCCTCGTCATTTTGATGTGGCTCGGAAGCGTATTCTCGAAGCCGTCGCGTCAAACGTAAACCAGCGTTTCGTGCGCTGTCAAGTTCGTCGCGTACTTCTCTTTCCCGCTCTTGGTACGACGCTAGCAGTTCTCGCAGAGCTCGAATCCCAGTAGACTCGCCGGCGTCACCTCCTGACTGATGAAGTAGTGCGAGTTTCAGACGGAAAGTCTCAAGTTGTGCTTGCGAGTCATGTCGTGTTCGCTCCAGAGCCAGCACAAGCTCTTCATTCTCGTCGCTCTTAGTCTTCAACGCTGTATTTGCAACTTCTTTATCTCGGATCTCACGCTTCAGATCGTCCTGGAAACGTTCCACTTGACGTTCCAACAATTTTTTCTCCGCTGCAAATGCCAATCGTTGAGTCTCCAGCTCATCGCTTAACTGTTTGACTGTACGTTCACGAACACTATCAGCATCTCGTCCAGCCTGTTGCGTCTCCAGTTGCTCCTTCTTGGCCGCCCATTCCGCACGTTCCAGCTCGAGCTCCAGATCTTTCCGCATCGCATCAAGCTTCGTATTAAACTCCACAGCTTCTCGACGCAATTCTTCATTATCTGATTGAAGTTTAGTGCTCTCAGTCTGCTTGTCATCCAGTTGAGCCTGACGAGCGCGTAATTGAGTGACGATCGTCTCCATCTCTCCCTGGAATTTCTGCTTCTGGTTGACAGCGACGATCAGTTCCAGACTCAGCTGCTGATTCTTTTTGGCTTCTGCGTCGCGAGCAGCTTCTGCCGATTTTACTGCTTTTTGCAGCATAGATAACTCGCCACCAAGTCGCGTCTTGTCAGCTACCAGCTCATTCATTTTTGCACACAAATCTTGGATCTGCTCAGCTTTTGTGGCGTCGTCTCGCTGGATCTCGACAACGAGTTGTTCTGCCTTCAGAAGTCGAGTTTCAGCCTCGAATTTGTCGCTGTCAAGCTGCTGTACCTGAGTGTCGCGCTCCAACTGGAAGGCGACGAACGCTTTACTGAGTGCCAACTTGTCTTGCTCGCATGACAGCAACTCAGTACGGAGAGATAGCTCGTTGTCGAACAGCTCGCGATATCTGACGCGTAGCTCGCCCAACTGTGCAGTTAGTGCGTCCTTATCTTCTCGCAACATCCGATGTTCCAGTCCGTTTCGAGCTAATTTTCCGTCTAATGCCAAGGTGTTTTGGTCATTTAAATATTTTACCGTAATAGATTAGCGCTACTACTATTGTACTGTGCTAAGAGGTGCCATTCTTTCTGAGTGATGTAATGGCGTCCCGTCCCAACAATTTCTTTTTCGTTTTTTCGTCTTGAAGCTGTCACCTTGATGGTCCCGCTTTGTGTGCTCCACGTTTACGGGCATTCTCGACCTCCGGGTGATTTTCCTGACCACCTCGACATTGAACCTGGTGTCCTTGCAGAGTTTGCGATCATCTCAGGTCTCGTGGGTTGTCTCTACGGCTTCCGACTCCTGCGTTTGATGATTTTTCTCTGTGGCTTTCTCGTCACTGGATTGTTGATGGCAACAGCGCTTGAACACGTTTTCGGGTTGAAGACGTGGGTTCTTGCAGCTTCCTGGATTGGTTTCGTCGTCATGGGAATTGCTGGCGGTTGCGTCGCACTGGCATTTTTCCCATTAGGTGTGTTTTTGGTGGGATCAATTCTGGCCTACACGCTCACTTCGTCACTGCCGTATCGTTTGCTCCCGGGTGAATCCAGCACCGTCCTTGACGGTGTTGTTGTGGTACTGGGTGGCATGCTCGCATGGCTGCTAGTGCGGCCATTTGCTATTGCTGCTAGCAGCCTCATGGGCTCAGTAGCTGCAGTGAGGGGTATCGGCTACTTCGCTGGTCGGTACCCCAGCAGAGACGACGTCGACCGCTTCCATTCGTACGTGATGAGAAGCAGAGAACCTTGGATCTACGCTGTTCCAGGAGCCTGGTGGGCGTATCTGGCTGCAATGCTGGCGCTACTGGCTGTTGGGATGATCAAACAATGTCATGACGTCGATAAAGAACGAAGCCACAGTCGCATTGGTCGCTACACTGGCTGGCGATCCATGTCAAACATCCCAATTCCGTGAAAAGTCAAGAGAGAAGTGACGACGGAAGAAACAGAAGTTACGAGGACATTTGAGTCTCCATTCATAAGTTCGTCAATTTACATTACATCTCCTCTTCCTTTGCCACCAGCAGCATCGATGATCACACGTAAGTCATCCTTCTCCATGTCCGCGCTGTTGTCGTCGTTGCGGGGAACTTCTATTCAGGGCTTCCGATTATAGCATTGCTCTATTTATCGGGAACCCTCCCTTAGCAATGGCATTGGGTAGCTTGTGTCAATACATAGGCTTCGACATGCAAACAATAAATAAGAGCCAAATGTATAGCGACTCAACATCATTTCAAAAATGCACAGCCTGTCGAAATCCCACCGTTTCCGTGTTGTAACGCAATTTTGCTAACTTTGTCCCAAAATGAAGAGTGAGCGCTCCAACACGCTTATCAATGAAGATAGACAAATGAAGAAGAAATCTTTCACTAGAAATCGGTATTTTAGCTACAATAAATTATTTATTGCATTCGAGAGGTCAACGAAATAAATATATTTATGATCTCATAAGAAATTATTGAAATCGGAGCTGTGAGTAACAATGGAATTATATCGGCGGCAATAGCAAAAATCAGATATTGCTTCTTGATAGATATTCCAAGAAATATTATACTGTAAGTTATTGGCTGCAAAAGAAGTGTACAGCATACCGGTACGACATAACTTAAGTATTCGCTAACGACCTTTTAATTGAAAGCGACAAGTTAATTTGCTCTGCTGCGACCGCGTTTCAAATCCACACGCCCCGTGACCATCACGACAACTATTTTTTTTCGCTCTCCTTTAACCGGTTGGAAAAACCACTCGACATGGCCACTCCGGCACGCGATCCTGACGCAGCCAACACTTGCATGCGACCAGCTTTGTGTACGGAAGTTCGCCACTCCATCACAAAACACAAATACAATCTTCCACTTGTCTTTCTGAGTAGTCTCCAGTCCATCAATGATACCCTCAACCATGCGAGCATCGATGTTCTCAAACCAATGTTTGAATTCACAAATCAAGAGTGGCGCGTAAGGCGAGACGTTCTCCCGCACGGAAATATTACTCCTACCTTCGTTTTCGAGACGATCCAAATGACCAAAGCACCCGCAACCAGCTCCTAAAATATACGGCGGCCACTCAGCATTCGGCGGAGCCAAGAACGGCACTGTCTTGCCAGGTAACTCAGCTAGTTCATGATATCCATCCAATAATTCGCTGAATGCCATTTCTCTTGGGCCCATCACCAGCTTTGTCGGAACTGTGACCTGCTCTCGAAATTCTCCCAGCAACCAAGGAAAAAAGTCCTGAAAAAGGATACCTCGTACTCCATTTCTTCGCGATGCACAGAAAATCATATGAGCGACCATATTCTCGTAGTATTTGTAGTTCTGACTCACAGCTTTGGTGGTTTCTCCCATAGTGAACCCGTGTCTTTTTTTCCACAACGAAAACACTCTCCACACTGATTCGTTGTAGTACCCCGAGTAAGTTTTTCCGCCCAATACAGCGAGGTAGAGCAGCACGTCCTCCCTAATCGTCGGAAAACTGCACAGCGGGAGCCATTCCTTACTGTTAACGGTCAACTCACCTTGAGATACATAAACATCGGTATGCTGAGAATCCGCCAGATTCGCGAAGTGCGAGTGCATACTTTGGATCCCAGATGCAATCCTCCTTCTTTTCGTCTCGGGTTCCGATGTTTCAACAGCATCAACATTTGACATCGCCATCATCTGCGCATTTCTTCCTTCCGGCTTACTCATAAAACGCTTCGTCTCTTCTACCCTTGTACGCACATAACAAAACGCGTCATCCAGCAAATCACGCAGATCGAAAGTGTGGGACTTTTCCATCGCGTACACCGCCGCGCGGTCGACGAAGTGTCGGACGAAACGCCCACGTGAATGCTCGACGATGGTCATCAAGACTGGATAATGAGCTCGGATACGGTCCCAAGCATCTTGCTTCGCTTCATCCTCAAACCTAATTGGTTGATATGGAGGAAAACGAGAAAAGACTGTCATCCACATGTGCGGATCCCCGGAGCTTCCTCCCGACTGATGAGTCAACTTGGCGATCTTCGCATCAGTTCCCATCACAAGCACAACCAAACCACACGCACGGAAAACATTTCGCTGAAATGCGGCGTATTTTTCGGCTTCTTCGTCCTGACATTTACTGGCCGTCAATTCGTCCAACACGAAGAAAGGCACCGCCTTGCCATCACGTTTCAGCTTATCTCGAAAGGCAAGAACTGCGTTCCGGTCGCACTTTTCTACTTCCATCGACATTTTCTTCTCAAAGTAGATCATTCCTGCGTCGCTGTCGTGTTCCAGTTTGTCATAATATTCTAACAACGTGAGAATAAATCCGTAGATCCACAGCTTTTCGTGAGAATAGACCGCCGATATGCAGTTCAGAATATCCACTTCACTCTTTTTCTTTAGCTCGTCCTTCTTCGTGACTTTATCGAACGCTTCCGCAATCGAAACAAAATTTTTATAAATGGGCTGGGAGTCCACTCCGATGGACGTGGCAGGCCAGTAGAACCAAGGTCCGCGACCACCTAAGGCAAACGCTAGCTGGGACTTCCCCATGCCCGACGAAGCTACCACGCAAATAAATGGAAGTACGCCGTTACGATGGGAGATACTGTCGATTTTGTCCAAAATCCTCTCACAGTATTCACTACAGTTCCTCTGGATCTGCACGCCTCGTCTTTGGTAACGCTTTAGCTCGAGTAAAGAGTCTGCGTCTTCATCTCCACCAACCGTAATGACGGTACTTGTCGGTAACTTCACCAATATGTGAATAACCTTCGTCGTCGGAGCACCTCCGAACAATTCAACAGCTAGTTCTGTTGGGTTGATCTGTTCGCGCAGTATTTCAAGCACTCCAACAGGGATGCCTCCTTTTTGCATTTCAAACACTTCTTCGCTAGCCAACTCTAGCCATGTGTCGCCTTTCTTCGCCAGGAAGAGCTGGAGATTGTTCGCAGGTACATTCTTCAGGGTTAAGACGTCCGAGATCTCCGCCTTGATCGCCTTCTTCAAGTGGCCCACCGACTTGTTCGCGTCAATGTCCACAGAGAACGCGCTCCCAGCCACACCAATGAGGGCACAGTACAAACTAATCATTTTTTTCTCGAGCCGACGGATTCTCAGGATGAGTACGATGTCAGTTTTGATCGGATCGCAATTTGTGACGTTTCTGTGAATTCCGACCAAAATTGCCGGTTCGACTCACTATTTCTGTGCGCGGATCTTTACGTGCTTTGAGAGAAAATCAGGATCTGAGCCGTTTCAAAATAACAGGAAAATTGACACATCGAATGCGACGAATTAACTTCGACTGTGTCGTCGCTGTCACCTCTGCAGTTACAGCCTTATTAATGATAACCCACGAATTCAAAGTTGAACATCATGGATGACACAAGTGAACCTATTCTCCGGACTCTAGTGGCGCCACGCACGACTCGTCCTCAGACGCGAAGTGTGCCTTAAACACTCAAGTTGCTCAAGCATTTGCTTCCATGTATTGAGAACTTCAATACTTTCCATTTAGCCATGCCCTCTAATAGTCCTGGCCCCAGTCAGAACACTTGACGAAGATCACAGCTTCATCTTACGACGCAGCAGGTCGCCGTGGGATGTCAAGACGGCTCCATCGTCGTGTGAGACGTGCTGCGAGACGCTGACTACGCTTTCTTCTCTTCGGGAGATGTGGCTTCATACGAGATTACCAGCGCCGAATGCATCGAGGCTGAAAATGTCGTCGCACTGAGCAAAGTCTCAACACGCGTGACATCGACAAAGCACGAAATTCCAGTCGCATTGGTCGCTATATCGGATACTGTCTGGCGACCAATGATTACCGTGAAAAGTCAAGAGAGGAGTGACGACGGAAGTAACAGCTTATTAAAACATTTTAAATGCTGAATCCATGCGCCATCATTCCTTAATAATTCCAAGTTAGTAAAAGCCGCTGCTAATATGTTTTTACCGGTATCACTAAAGTAATGTGTTAATGTGTTTTTACACAGCGACCACAGTTCGTATTCCCTCTCCATTCTAGATTCCGGCATATATTATTCAGTCTCCGCACCAGCCACAAGTAAAACGGTATGTCCAGCCAACTAGATCTTCATTACATTTCTTTTGCTCTTATTACACCACAAAACGTACAATATTCAGCTACCGATCCAGTCACAAAAAGTAAGCAAAGAATATGTAAAAAAAACAGGTCGAGTCATTTTCGAAGCAGAAGTTAAGACATTCGAGTCTCCATTCGTTAGTACGTCTAAATTTCACATCACTTCTCCTCTTCCTGTGTAGGCTCCACCACTAGTACAGCAGCATCGATGATCGCACGTAAGTCGTCCTTCTCCATGATTGCGCCGTTGCCGTCGCTGCGGGAAACTTCCATCGATTCGTCCTGGTACTGAGCAGCTCGGTCCACTAGACCGTTCAGAAGACTTCCCTCCAGCTCAAGAGTCGATGCTGTGGGCAGATCAAAGCGCGTGATCACATAACGCAGCCAAGCAGCCACATCGGCGCCCTGGAAGCCGCTCGCAGCTGTCAGTCGGTCGGCCGCGTTCTCCAGCTTCTCACGCAGCTCGTCAAAGAACGGATCGCCCTCGTTCTCCCTCGCCAGCTCCGCATACCTATCGAACACGAACGGCAGAAACGCTGTGGCTACCTGAGCGTGTGGCAGGTCCGAGATGCCGCCCATTGACACGGCCAAGGCCTGTGCCGCTCCTGTACCCGACGAGTTGGCTGCAATTCCCGATAACAAACTTCCGATAGCGAATTGCTCACGCAGCACAGCACCCTTGAGATCCAGCTTGCCTTCTTTCAATGGAGCAGCGAGAGCGCCCGCCACAGCCTCCAGTCCTTCGAGTACCAACTCGTTGGTCGCGTCGTCCGCACAGCCCAGCAAATAGCTCTCCAGACACTGCCCCAAGGCTGTCAACGCGCCCTGGACGGTAGCGCGAAGAGGTACCGTCAACATTAATGTTGGGTCAATGATCACCGCCTGGTGCCACAACATTTTACAAGTTCGTCAAGTGACTAAAAAGGCAACTTCAACTTGACCTTCACTCACCTCGGGCACGATCTCTTTCCCGGGCGCAAAGAGCAACTTAGTTTCTGCATCTTCTTCCAGCAACATAGAGGTCCTGGCCACTTCAGCGCCCGATCCGGCGATGGTCGGGACCAGCAGAAGTGGCGTGGTGTCCAGTTTCCCTTGCTGCAACTTAAGCTCTTCATCGTCTTCATCGTCGCCCCTGATGGTCACGAAGTCGGCTGCGCTGCCTCCATTGGCCAGCACGACAGCTACTGCACGCGCCGTGTCCATAGCGTTACCACCACCGAAGGCTACGACTCCGTCGGCGCCCACACGCTGAGCTGTGGCGGCTGCGTGATCCACACCTTCGAGTGTGGCACAGTCACGCTCCAATGTGTACTGGAAGCAGGGCACACCAGCTTGCATCAGCAAGAACTCGGCGTATTGAGTGCGTGAGGCGGCGGCAGCGTCGCGGTCGCGCACCAGTAGCACCTTCCGCATACCACTGGCGCGACTTAATGCACCAAGCTGTTTTGCCGCAACTTTTGCGCCGAAGAGCACACGGCCCGGTTGCCCAGACGCACTGAGCTCATGGGGGCGAGCGTCAAAGCTGGACGAAATGCAGCGCGCGTGACGGCGCAGAGGAAAATGGACGTGAGGACGCAGCAGCCGAAGCATTGGTCAGTTGTTGAGGAGACCCAAGATGATAATGTGGGCCACACCGAATAGCCAAAAAGCTGGATAAAATTCAATTGAGTTTGTCAGTTTATCTTTTTAATTGAAAAGAAGTTTATCGACAAAGACACATAAATAAACACGAAATAAGCGAAAAAACAAAGAGAATCTTGAAATACTTAAAAATATTACTTACTACGTAGTATAGGCGACAGTAGAACTGCGATGCAATTATTTTGTTATCGCGATCTTAGCCACATTCACCATTTAGCAAGAAACTTAAATGGAGTTAATTTCTTTAAGAAACGGAAAGAAAACGGCAGCGCCTTGGCCAGATTAACGCTAAATAGCGCGAGTTTAACCTTGTTCAGCACTAGTTATTGTGAATTTGTCCTTGGTCACATTAACCCTCCGTTACCAGCGTCGTAAGTTACGATTAATCCGTTTGGTTACGTCATACAAAATGCCGTAGTCCAATGCCCAAAGCAGGAATGGCTCGGGAAGAACACTCCCATACTTCAATCAGTATTCTTATCGACAGAGAAACTGTATGCTGCAAGAAGTCAAATCCGAACAGCAAGAAACAGACCAAGGCTGGGGGGGGGGGCTGTAGGGAAATGCGCGGTAGTGCGAAAGCAGGAAATCAGCCTCATAAAAGAGTTTGACGGCAGAGGATAAAGCGATCATGGCCCGGATTGAGTCGAGTACACGCTTGAAGCTAGCGTTTAAGATTTACAGCTTAGATTCCCGTCTTATCTGGTGGCAACTACGTACGGTTGGATGACACTCAAACACGCCAAAGAACCAGCTCGCTATGCACCGGACGTATTACGGGCTGAACCCTCCACAAGTCACCCTTCCCCAGGCGTATCGGTAGCGCATTCGACACCAGCTGAACCAACAGTCGATTTCAGTCATCGGCACAGTCTCTTTGGTCTTTCGACTTCAGTCGCTGATGAAGCGTCGTTCATGAACTGGGTCGGTCACGCTCGACGGCTCCCCAATTATGCAGCTCTTCTAGCTAGTTTTTTTAATCGTTTGGAGAGACGTCTGCGCTTCGATATCGTAAAGTCGAAAGCGCGACACCGCACCACAGGACCGCGTCCTCAATACTACAATACTCATCTGCCTTCCGTTCCTACTGCGAGCGCGGCTCCGTTTTACGACCCCGCGACCCCAGTCATCGGTCAAGGCCTGCCGATCTGCCTTCTCCCCAGTCTACTGGTAAGCGCTCAGCGCTTGGCGACGCCATTGTCCGCTGAAGCAGTGCTCAGGTATTGAAATGTCCGATTATAAATGCTCACGACGTCTGGGCAATCCTGCCACAGGGGAGCCAACACCTACCACCATATTTGTGAATAAGGATACCCCGCCACTTCACAAGATACTGGGCTTGGCCCTGACGTTGGTTTAGTCGCCATTAAAAACACATATTTAAATCATGGTAAATAAAACTACTAGCTAAAGAATCCGTTGTAGTCGTACTAGGTGCAATCCACACTGGATCCAACGAGCCCATGTGTCACTTCAGCGCAAATAAGTCTCCCTGACTTGCCGCGAGGTTATCCAGGGGCCCTCTGCGCTTCTTGACGAGCATGGGTCTCTCCTCTATCATGTCGAGGGTCTTGTGGCGCGGCGTCCTTGCCGATTATAAACTGATTTTAAAGGTTTGCGGGCTAAGAGCATCTTCAGCGGTTGGTCGTAAAGGCGGTTTTATCTCAAATGTAGCGCGCTTAAGACTCGAGCGAGTCTTAACGCTTCCAGCGGTAAGTCTCAACGCTGGTTTTAACTTCAGCAGGTCTTAAATTTGCCTTTCGGGGTTTTAAAATAAGACTCGGATCTTAAAGGGTGGTGTGGCCCACACTTCAACATTGACACGAGTTTGCGCGCAAAACAGAAGAACTCGTCGAGAAAGATGGGGAAGGGTCGAGAATGGAGCGTGGAGGAGACGATTCAGCTGTGCAGATCGTGGCTGGAGACATCAGAAGACCCCATTCGCGGAGCCGGTCAAAAGAAGGGTTCGTTCTACGCCAAAGTTTATCAGCATTGGCTTGCACAGCGAGGGGCTGGTGCAGACGAGCGATCGGAGGCTGCAGTTTCTGGTAGGTGGAAGAAGCTCCAGCCAGAAGTGACAAAATTCGAGGGCATCTTCTCAAAGCTGAAGAGCAAGGAACGCTCTGGATGGAATGAGGAGATGTTCGTAGAGTCAGCAGTATCGATCTACGGGGAGCGGCACAAGCAGCCATTTGAGTTTTTGGATGCTTGGAATGAGCTTCGTGACAAACCCAAGTGGACACAACGGCTTACTACTTCGAGCACTACGCTAGGAACAAAACGCAAAAAAGAAGCTGTGCCAAGACCAGAAGGCCAGAAAGCTGCGAAGGCTGCTAAGATTGCTGGAAGTGTCGGCAAAGATGGTTTGCCAACCGATCTGCATCTACGATTTGTGGCAGCGTCGGAAAAGAAGGCTTTAGTGATGGAGAAGAAGTTCCAGTACAGCATTTTCATGCAGGCTCCGGACAGTGCAGAGTCCCAGGAATATTTTGCCATCCGGCGCCAGGCAATATTGGCCCAGCTTCGTGCATCTACTTGTGACGCGTTGCAAAGGAAGGCGATAAAGAGAACCGTGACGCCAATGCAAACTCAGAAACCATTGGCGATTCCTTCTTTAACCAGCTATCAGGTTAGCTCGAAAGCATTTCGACACTACCGGTATGTGGTTGCTGTTTGCCTATCATTACAATACCGTGCTAACTACCTTCTCCAAATACTTTCCAGACATGCTCAAATAAGTCGTTCTTCAACTCGAAATGCAAGGCTTCGTCTTCAATTACTTTCAGTGCTTGCGCAATGTCGGTGACCGGGCAAAATTCATTCGGCAGTGGTAATGCGGGACTTACCCAACCATCTTCGTAAAGATATTCATTGTTGCAAGCACTATCCTCTATTTCGCTCTCAATGATCATATTGTGGAGAACAATGCATGCCATCATGACGTCTCCCATGGCTGTACTGCTCCAAAGTTTACACGGCTGAGCAATTATGCGAAAGCGCTGCTGTAAAACGCCAAAGGCACGTTCAACATCTTTTCGAGCTCCTTCCTGAAGTGCAGCATACAACTTTCTTTTGCGGTTAGCTGGCGAGCTGATGCTGTGCTGGAATATAGCCCACGAAGGATATATTCCATCAGTCAAGTAGTAAGCGTGACTGTAGTCTGCGTCATTAACTCTAAAAGAAACTTTAGGTGTTTCACCATTCACTAAATCATCCAGTAGTGGGGAGCGCTCCAGGACATTCAAGTCATTATTCGACCCCGGTGCTCCAAAGAATGCATGCCATATCCAAAGCGATTGAGAAGCAACAGCTTCTAGTATGACGGTTGCAGCCTTCTCCTTACCGCGGTACATTCCTGCCCACGCAACAGGGCAGTTTTTCCATGCCCAGTGCATGCAGTCGAGACTGCCAATCATGCCAGGGAAGCCTCGAACGGCATTTTCAGCTAGCAACAGTTCCAGATCATATGAAGTAGGTTTGCGTAGATACTCAGGTCCGTACAGCCGCGTAATGCTGCTACAAAATGTTTTTAACGATTCCAATGCTGTTGATTCACCAATGCGAATGACCTCATCGAGCTGGTCTGCACTTGCGCCATATGCGAGCATCCGCAGTGCACATGTAATCTTTTGTTCTGGAAGAAACCCCAACAAACCGGTAGCATCAGGCCGCTGCACGAAATAGTTGCAGTGTTCATCCTCGACAAGAGCGCAGACGATGGTTTCAAATAGGTCTCGACGCATTCTAAAGCGCCGACGGAAGTCCTCTATATGCCGTGGTGACACTTAAAAGTCAGGATCTGTTGTAATAGCAGATTCACAAGTCAGGAAATCAACGTACTTGCATCGTAGGTCGGATTATCGCAGAAGTAGTCGGCTATCATCTCCTCCCCATACTGTGCTCTCTTGCGTTCCTTTCCCGCTCGCCTGCCGACTTCAGAACCACCGTGCTTCCTCTTCCGCTGTGCATTTAGCTCGGGTAATATGAAGAGAATGAAGAACTCGTCATCAGAATCCCCTGTTGCGTCACAAAACGCATCCGCATTAGCTCCTGCCATGCCCCCCATGAGAGGAAGGGGGCGAGGGGGGCGGGGACGGAGCTTACAATGCTTGTTGTGATAACAATAAGATAGATCTTTGCTTGAGACCTCCCGTTGCGGCAAAATCAGAGGTGCGGAGTCTTAAAATAAAACTGCGGTCTCAATGGCCTCGAAGGGGCGTCGATACGACTCACGTTAGGACTTACCGCTGGAGATGCTCTAAGAACGAGGTAGTTTAAAACGTATGAAATTTCAGCGTTGTTAGCACTAATGATAACAGGTGCATGCGACTGAAAATTGATAAACGTTGCTACATGTTTCCATTTTCGCCAAAGATCTATAAACCAGAGAAAGGTCAGTCCGCACTAGCTTTCTTCACAGCGGCCAAAGGCCCCGAGCTTTCAAGTACCAGCTATCATAGTACCGTATTTTGTATGTGCTTGCCGACGGAATTGTTTTACTGACAAAGTCAATTGGCCAATTAGCGTTCACATTTTTTCGTACCGTCGCTGCTTCTATGCTTACCGACAGCTCACCAGCAGCTATAAAATTGAAATTAACAAAGTAGCAGCACACCAACAGCGAAGCGTCACCACCATGCCGCCCTCGTGCTAGCAGTAGCGGCCGTAAGACCCCAAAGCATTCCCTTACTTGCTACACAAGCGAGAGCAAGGAGCGAGAGTGGCTATAAACAGTGTATGCTACACCTAGCCAAGCTCGTTTGAAGTGCGTGCGGTCGAAATGAAGTGCAACTATTCTTCCTGCAGACGCTGAACATGAAATGGTGCATTAGATAAATGCACTGTGGAAAGGTAGAGCCCCCGTATTTGCCGAAATGCTTGAGTTGCAAGCCAAACAGACCGCATAATATTTTCACATTTATGGTATCGTGGCACAGGAGAAAATGGATTTATGAAGCGTCACCGATTGAGTATTCGGGCACGCACTTCGCAAGAGCTGATCCCACGGACCGACGTTCTCTAATCTGTATCACATGTGACCCAGCTATCTTTTTTTAAGCATTTACCCAAAACTTCATTTACCCAAAACTTCAATTGTTAAAACATGTTCAAATACGGCCTGGCTGCGTGGGGCTGGTAAAGACAAAGAGAGGATCACGGTTATGCTGTTTGCTGGCTCAGACGGAACCAAATATCCACTTGTACTGATCTACTGTTCAAGGTGGTGATGTTGCCAGCTGGAAGTACCGGTGTGGTTTTGAGATTCTCGTATGGACAGAAGCAAAATTATTATGAGCGGGGCAGATTGGCAGCTCTATGCAAACCCAACGACATGATGAAATACTGAAATTCATATCGAATCTCTTAGAAACGGTTTGGGGACTCGTCCAATACCGTGATAGCCGATTTTGCTATTAGGCGATGATTCGTCTGGTCTCTGGACAAATGAAATGCAGGCGCTCGCCAAACAAATTGATGTCCACCTGATGAAAGTACCTCCATCCGGTACAGCTGTGACTTAACCGGCGTCTATTTCTTAGAATAAGCCGCTCAAAAACAGCTTACGAGTAGCATGGATTAATATGTTACTAGAGCAGCTTCGAGCTCATGCTGACCGTGAGGTTGCGTTCACATTGAAGCGCCCTACGCTATCACAATTGTGCAAATGAGAGCATACAAGCTGAATATATATTTAAGTAATATGACAATTCAGAGAGGCTTCTGGAAACTACATTTACTGTCTCCTATTCTGCCTTGAGATGCTAGAGTCGACGTTGAGAACTCTGATGATGTGCTTGACGACGCGGTGATATCTGTTTTGGCAGAATTCGATCTAATTGATGTTACAGCTGATAGTTTTGCGTCATATGATGATCTAAATTGTAGTGACAGAGGAGAAGAATATGATGATACTTTCTATTGCAAATTTGCAGATTGCAATTCTGTATCCTTTTTTTAATTGCTTGGCGTACCGTTGACTTTCCTGATGATGTACAGAAGCAAATCATGCAGATGCATGTAGGCGAGCACGTACGGAATACGGTCTGTCCCCGAGAAAGACAGTCCTTGCAGGGAATGCAGACACTCCGACAGGCTGACTTGGGCAAATGTTTGAGAGCTGCCTGCAAAGCCTGTATTTGCGATCCTGACGAGCGTTCGAGCGGCTGAATGTGGTGATGCGCTTTCTCAGAAATAAGATATGGAATCTGACCCGGGGTCACTATCACGGATTAGAGATGGTACTTTATGGATAGAATGGATTCGGACTGGTCGAAGTGAATTCGTACTGCACGAAGTGATCGAAGGTCGAGACTATCACTATGAATCTCTAGATGACGTAGGCTACGTGGGCCGATACCGTTGACTAACAATCTAAGGATGAAGTACCTGGATCCGTACACTTTATGGATTGACTGTGTGGATCTGGAATAGGAGATAACATAATGGATCTGGTGAAGCCGTGGCTAAGCGCATGGGTTGATGGCAGTACACACGAGGTTCATCAAGTATATGTTCGAATTCACCCTCGCACAAGTATGCCAAGGGAATACTTGTGCGAGGGTGAATTCGAACATATACTTGATGAACCTCACGGTGAATCCTTCACCCACGGTGAAGGGATTCACCGTGGGAGGATGGATCCAGTGGGAAACCTACGAAGGAAGGGCTGCAGACACCATCCAAAGGTGGATCTGGCATCGATGAAGGATGCGAAGGTCAAATCCACCGCTAGATGTCCCAGATCCAACCCTCCCAAGTATTGATCCAACAGATTGAGGATCTCACTCTGAATCCGAGAATAACTTGCATTGTGTTACGCAAGTGCCTTCCGGTCCTCAAGAATCACAGCGATATTGGCCGTACGAGCTCGGCGAGGGTTGGGAATTCCATATCTAGCGTTGGTAGTGATAGTTGGATAATTAATTGGTCAGATCCTACCACCTAGTAAGCTTTCCTTCTACGTGCAAATCCATAAGGTGCTCGGATTTACTACTTGGCCGAAAACTATCAACTATCCGGACCCCGGAACCGGCAAGTACGATGAAAAGGAACGCAAAGGCTAGGGAGCATATTCGCACCTACGGCCAGATCCCAGATCTAGGGTTAGGATCCACCAAGATCGAGTATTTGCTTGCGGTCTCGAAACAGCTACGGAAGCGGAATGAAGGTTTTACCACTACTGCTTCACCCATCCCTACGCCTCGACAAGACGCTCAAGTTTCACCACTTGAGCGCTTCGGAAATTACCAATAGAGCAAGATCCCGCCCTACGGACGGGTACACAAGATGAGGAGCGTTCAGCACATCACACAGATTATCGGGAGACCCCCTCCGTAAGTCGGTGTCGGGGCGCTGCTTTTAACTTGGATTCAGCAATCCCGCAGATTTTGCTGATCCCGCTACGCCACATGAATGCTTTTGTTGGCAGCGACTGTTGCTGAAATTCAAGGCGAGGTGTACGTGCAGCCGTCATGGGGAAGCTGATCGGATTATATTTTGTCCCCTGGTTGAAAACCTACCATCAGCATCGGTACAATTGTACTAGTAGGCGTGCATAGATTACATTTATATTGAATTATGTAAAATGTGATGTGTTTTTCATAAACAGTCTTTGAAGAAGTTTGTCAAATACACGTCGAATTTGGCAACATTAAAATTTCCATAATGCCGTACATACATGTACTAGCTCAAACAAGCTACATCCAGGCCAGTATAACTCTCCATCAATACATCTTTGATATGACGTACTTATTGTATCAAATATCTTTCTGAAGCCTTCAAAACGGCATGTTGTTTTTGTTTACTCCATCAACTTGACCATGCCATATTGCCGAGAAGACATGGGTAAACAAACTTAACAGTAAAATTTACTTCTTCGGTCCGAAATACAAGCAGGATGGGCGGACAAAATTAATTTTAAGAGCAGAAAACCTATAAACGAGCGGCTGAATGGTCTAAATTGCTGTTTAGATTTCGGCGATTGTTTGGTCGACGTTTGAATGAAATCGGCCACCTGGTCACAAAGTTATTGCTATGCAATGTTCGTGATGAAGATGTGAAATTTGAATATCTTTCGCCGGGATGTCAATTTTCCACAAAAAGTTATAGAAACCTGTAGAGATGTTGCGCGTGTGATTCTCTATTGAACAGTGCCACGTAGAGTGCTAAAATACTTCTACTGTCTGGTTTGCAGCGGCCGACAACAGGAACAGCATTTGTATGGGCGTACTTAGGCGAAATACGACAGTACTATCATATGACTTGAACTTGTAAGCATACCGCCTATATTTTCGGACACGCTTTAAACAGATGCCCCGCTTATATTTTCGGGCAGAGGAAGTAGTTTTCGTGCCCTCTCATATCACATGTTTTGTAATAGTAATTAAGCTTGCAGGGATAGTCTGTAAGCTTCAAGTTTTTTTTTTAAGTTGAATCTACTTGTGCGCTCATAATCCTACAAATCATACCAATGGGAACAACATCTTGACATGCAAACACTTTGTGATCAGGTCGTAGACCAGCCTACGCTTATGAGAGCTATCCGAAGAGTATATCTTACGTATCGCTACCGATCGCATTTGAACGCCCCCCCCCCTCCCCGTCAAAGCGACTCTACAATGCCACATTCGGTGCACCTTCATCTTCGTCCGAGCTATCATCAGTAAGTTGCTCAATGGCGGCCGCTCGCCTTTGTCGGAGCTGTCTCGAATGTCACGCGGGATATCAACCGGTACGAGGAGATCAGTTGTCGCTCTTTGAGTGCGGTGTGCACGACCACGTGGAACACCTACGATGTGGCGTATTTTTAGCTGAAAGTGTTCCATAGACGCGGCCATTGAAGGCCGAGGCTGTAAGACGCCTGTTGAGCTCTCGATGAGTGGGTTATTGCTGCGAGCAACCAGTCTTTGTTCATCCCATGGCCGTTCCAAACGTCTTCATCGTACTGCGCCAGCCACGTCTAGGCGAAATAATTTCAGAATCCACGCCACTTTTGTTTTGAGTAGCAGCAGTACCAGGGCTCCGTAGGAAATAATTACTCGAACAATTAACGCAATTGCGTTAACGTAGTTACAAATTTTACTAAATAGATTCCCTGGCCAAATGTAGATCAATTAATATTTGAATTGACAAAAGACCACTGGTGACAGGATCGCAGCTGTTCTCACCACCGGCAGTTCCAGAAGCCATGCTAGCAAGTCCGGGATGCTCACTTCGAATTTTGCACGTGCTATACTAGCTCTCAAGCTACCCCCAGTCTCTTCTACTTGCCATGCCGCTCTTAGTCCGATACATCTGCACCATCCTTATTCAAAAAGAAACCCCGGGGAAATTTGTCTGCAATAGCTACAGCCTTACCATCAGCAGCCCTCAAGGTTTTTTTACCTCATGGACCACCTCCGCCGTTTCCGCCCAAGTTTTTGCCAGTCGACGACGAGGAGGCCTCAGGCGCGCAATGCTTCTTCAACCTGGTTACCGACACGTTGTGTCGGCTCCACCGCCCCTGGGAGTATGTGCTTTTATGGTCGACGATAACCGCAACGAAAATCATTATGTCGGACGTGAGATTCGCGCCATTCCTATTATTGGCTGGCGATGAATGACTTATCACACCCTGAACAAACCAAACCAAACCAAACCTAGACCTTTCCAAACCAAACTAAAATTTCAAGCAAACCTGGTTAGTTTCGGTTTCAAGGTTTTAATCCGTATCAGTTTGTAACTCCAAACCAACATGCCGGTTTCTTCAAACCTCTGGGTTAGTTCGAACCTGGGGCTCTTGCTGCGGCTTTTGCAGATTGGATCAACCTAAGACTTTTTGTTGCTATCAAGTACTCGCATCTGAAGAACTACCGCTCGAGATGTTCCAACCATCTGCAGCAATGGTCGTTCATGGAGACAGCGGGCAAGAGCGCCATTCGGAGGGACCACGCGTCATAACCCCTGAACAACAGTCATTTATCGAAGGCCCGACCGTAGTCAGTGCAAGCAGTATACCGCGACGTCAGCAGGTTTTTGTTCAAGAAGAAGTCATTGTCAGCGATGTAGGCGTTGCTCAAGATCTAGACAGAGTTTTTGCAAGGCTCCCAAGTCCGAAATGATGAAAAATTACTAGAATTAGCTCAGTACGCCCACGACCACGCCATCAACACTGCTGCGGAAACGGAAAAGCGTCTTGGTTGTCACCTTCGCGAGTATCTCGATGGCATTCACGCATATTACGACGCTTCAATGAAAAAACAAGGTGAGCTTCAATCTGTTGAACTTGATAGGCGCTTGGGTTGCCTGGAACGCGATGTTCATGAGCGTGCGCAAGCGTCAGCTGTTGCTACAGCTAGAACTATGGCAAATAAGCTGGAGAGTCATTTTAACAGCGCATTGGCAGCGATGGAGACATCATACAATGCACACAACACTACGTATGTATCTGAATGTGAAACGAGGCTGCAGTCAGCTTAGAAACAAGTCCAAGATGATTTTGAGTCAGCTACAGATCTGCAATCGGCCTGGATTGAGAAACGTTTCAATGCCAAGCTCGATGCAGCCAAACAGGCCGACAAGACAACCTGCGATCGTGTCAAACTCGGATTGATGAGCAAGACACGAAAATTACCGCGAGGGCAACTGAATTGGCGCAGTCGTACGCTGATAACATCGAAAGGCGACTCCAAAAGAAGCTCGACGACACCATTGAAGCATTTGAACAGCACACCAAAAGTTATATTGATACACGCTTGGTAAATACAATGGCACGATTGGAACACACTCATCAGGGTGCTAAAGATGAGCTCAAGACTACATTTACGTCGAGCACTTCAGCATTAGAAAAGAATCTTCAATACCAGCTCCAGGCCGCACAAAACACCACAGCCACAAAGATACACTGTCTAGAACAAGAGTTAAGAGACCTGAAGAATGCTGCGCAGGAGATGGCGGGACATGTTTCGCAACTTACAAATATGGAGGTGCGTCTTCACAGTTTAGGTAGCTCCCTAAGTACATGCCAAGAATTCAGTGAAGTCCCCATCCAACAAACTTCGTCAAATCGGAAAGGTATCGTCGCCGATACTACCGCGTCTTCAGTCCCTTTCCAGCTAACTTCGTCAAATATGGACGTGATCGTCGCTGATACTACCGCGTCTTCAGCCCCCACAACAGCCCCCGCATCTACGGAGAACAGTACACTCACGAATACTGCCGAAGATGTACAATCTATTGCAGTTCATCAAGTTGAAAGCTTGGTAGCTACACCTCCCGAAGAATCTGCAGTTTTGACGGCACTTGCTCAGTTAAGTCGTGGTATTAATGAGCTATTTGTAAAAGCCCAGCCTTCATACAAAAGCAACAGTAATGCCGTGACTAGAATGAAAGCGCGCCAAGACAAGATTTCGTCATTTCCACGTCGCCAAAAAGTCGTGCGTAATCCAAAACTCGGTGCATCTAGTTCAACACGAACTGAAAACGACGGTACCAAACGCGTTGGTCAACTGGTTCGTGCACGGGCTAAAGCCAGCAAACAAGTTGAGCAGCGAATAATGCAACGAGAACGAGAACTACGACGTTCAGGTATGCTACTTTGTCGCAAAATCGTAATCTACTTGAGGAGTGGAAGTTTGTCAACAACGAGCTAATTCTTGTTTTGTTCTTTCTTGAGGCTACTAAAGCGAACTGATACTAGTTATCGCAAGGGATCATCTTGGTCCCATTTCACAGAATGAATTCGCTCATCACTTTGAATAATGGAATACTTATGCTGAGTCTATAGCGTATGAGCAGAGAAGGCGTGTGCTTTGTGACAGGTGACCAGTTGCAGTCAGTGGAGCTGTCAGCGAAGTCGACGGCCGAGTTGCTGGCGAAGGTGAGTTGAAATTGCGTGCAGCGGAGCCATGTGCAAGTGATCGAAGGTTAAGACTAATCGGAATAGATCGCATTGCATGACATTGGTAAGATGAATTTGAGTCGATTCAAAGGTAAATTCGCTGTGCATCTTTTACCAACTACAGCAATCAGCGTGGCACCCATGGAAAGCGTGTTCCCCGAGCACATTCTACCATCAAATATTAGTCTAAGCGGTTTTGTATTTGTCATACAGCAACGTGGTCAGTACATCTAGCTAGAACATTATGCGGATTTCACTGCAAGGCAAGACTTGAGGAACAAGCAGTCGCGTATATTGAGAAACCATTAGACTGACGGCTTAATCGAAATCAAATATGCAAGATGCCATCTCGCTCTCCCACTCCGTGGAAAAAGGCGCGTCAAACTCGTGAGAGGTGAGGGACACGAGGACGTTTGCAGGGATAGCTTGCTTCACTTCAGCGTTGGAAAGTCTCTTGTAGTTTGCTACGTCAACAAATCTGCGGTTCCTGTTGAGAAATGAGCACATATCAATGTTGTGCTTTGCGATGCTAGTTCGGTGGCTCGTAACCAGCATTCCAGTGATTCCGAAATCTCGTTCGATCTGGGCGGCGGAAGACGGAATCGCATACAGAATTTTCGCTGCGATAGGCATGATCCGGTAGATGTTCTCATTTTGCTGCCTCTTCCAGTATGAAAGGATATTCTCGGGTTTTGAGTTAGTGATCTGCAGTCTACTCGGATCTGCTAACCACCTGTCGAGCTCTTCGTCGACTCGAGCTTCATGCACATCGCGTCGAACAACTGTCACCGCTGTTTCTTCGGTAAATTCCATTAGATCTTCCGAAAACACCGTTTGCTGCTGGAGACTTGGTAAATCTGGCATAGGACCAAACGTATTAGGTGAACTGGCCGGCTGTTGTGATTGTGTCGATGCCTGCGAGCCAAGAGCACTTCCTTTTGAAATTTCAAGCATCAGACCTCGTAGTCGATTCATCACAGCTACCTTCACGGACGCTACATTTCGCGCCACGCTATGTTCGTCGAGGCGAAGGTGGGGCTGTTCTGGATCAATTATCAACTGCTCGTTGCAAATTTTGACAATCTTAGCGAGATTTTTGGCTTGGTTCTTGGATGACGGGTGCAGCAACAATTGCATTTCTGGTATATACGCTGTACTCCGAAACGCGATGGGTCCGTATAGCGAATGAAGAAGTTCTTGTGAAATGCTTGTGCTAGCAGGGCACGCGTAGTTTTGGCGAGTCGAGTGAGATTTTGCACTTGGTAGTACAGCGGAGGTTCTGAAGAGGACCGTGCCTTGTCTTGGATGGGCTGCGTTTCGTCCAAAATGGTCGTTCGAAGGCGAAATACCGACAGGAGAACGCTCACCTGGTTTGTGTCTTCTTTCTGGCTTTTAGTATTGAGAGCTGCAACAGGGTTCAGCAGTCCATACAATTGAAGAAGCGTTTCCTTGTCATCTGCGATAGGTAGGCCCTCTGGTGCAGCTTTCCGTTCACGAATTGCTTTGTTTTAAGCTTCTCTTGAAACCAGTCTTCGAGCTGATCCCATTTGCTCAGTAAACGTTTAATAGCCTTCTCTAAACCCATAAAGTGGTGATCTTTATGCTCAAGCAATTGTTTGGACGCGCCAGTGTTCGCCATTTCACAAAGATCGGCAAAAAGACTCCCCGTGATTGCATTAGAACGAATTGTATACGTGGTGCGAGTGATGCGTGAAAGCAGATCAGTTACTTCGGGGTTCTTCGAGTTGCATCGCTGCGGCACGATTCCAAATGCCATTTTTGTTGCAGCGTTCGTTAGATGCGGCATACACCATTCCCATTTAAGATGAAGTCCTGTCATCATCATCCATTTGATGTCTGGGCCAGCGTCGGTAGTTGAAGCATACATATCTTTAAGCGTCACCCCGAAATCCTTAAAAAGCTCGAGGATCCATCGCTTTAATGGCCCGCGACTTCCTTCGCTTCTCTCGCCATACATGGGTTCATAATGGCGAGTACCCAAAAGAATCGATTGGAGTTTTCATTCACAGTCGGTAAAGTAGAGACGGAGGCCCAAGTATTTGGTGGATTTCTGGTCTTCGACGTCAACATATCACACACCACTGTAAACGTCGGTACTCCAAGAACTCTGCTGCGATCAATGACATCACAAGCAACGATTCGTGCACTTGAGTACAGCTCGACAATAGAACGCGTCACCGTGTGATTGTTGATCGTGACCCGAAAATCATCTCCTAGGGTAACGTCTGCTAGTAGCTCAGATTCATCATATTCCCCAATTCAAAAAGGGAGATTGTTATTAACCACACGCATCGTCTCCAGTAGTAATGTCATTCTTCTGCAGTCGTCGCCATTCACAACCTTGCTTCGGATACGCTCCAGCTGCTTTGCCCGACTTCGTTTTCTGCCGTGCTCTGCTGTCACTTTCGCTGCGGTTAGCAAATGCTCATCGCCGAGGTGTTTTGTGGCTTTCGATGTGTTACCATATAGCTGAATAATCTTGTTCTTACGACGGCATTCATGACTTCCTTGGCAAATCCAACCTACGTACTCCTTACCATCAATTGTTGCGGAAATGCGAGCACCCCAGTCAAGAATAATTGAGCGCTCCCCCCGGCGTTTTGGTAGAACAGTGAATCCAGCGAGAGGAACATAATCTCGGATAGCTTGACTCACGTGCTCTGGCACAGGGATCACAACACCGATGTTTGTGCTCGATGAAGTGTCTGGTGCTGCCATAAATTCTCCTCGTCTAACTGCCTCAACACCCGATCTCGATGTCGCTGTACTCTGACCTGGTAGCTGGGCCCCCACTTCTTCCTGTGCCGATGTCAAATCACCGTCTCCAAAATCCATCCCCTGTTAGCCCCGGAAGGTGGACGCTGCGTTGCAAGTGTTGGAGCTGGTTCGTATCCAAAGTGGCAACAACCTTTAGCCCTGACCAGTTTTATACCTTCTGATGAACAAATCGCCAGTTCAGGTCTATTTGTACAGGTCTGTAGCCAAGTCCTATCCAACAGCCCAATCGAATATCTTGTGAAAACAGCCACTGTATCCTACAGAGATGTTGATTGTTGGAACCGATTGACTGTAAGTTTTTTTTATCGCTTCGCATGAACTTTTGATTATAGACGATTAAAGGACTCAACACCCGATCTCGATGTCGCTGTACTCTGACCTGGTAGCTGGGCCCCCACCTCTTCCTGTGCCGATGTCAAATCACCGTCTCCAAAATCCATCCTCTGTTAACCCCGGAAGGTGGACGCTGCGTTGCAAGTGTTGGAGCTGGTTCGTATCCAAAGTGGCAACAACCTTTAGCACTGACCAGTTTTATTCCTTCTGATGAACAAATCGCCAGTTCAGGTCTATTTGTACAGGTCTGTAGCCAAGTCAAATCGGTGGAGTTTGTGTTGGTGGAATGACAAGCACGTGAAACACTGATGTTGACAAGGAACTAGAGTGGAGGATTGGGCCTATCACTGATTTCAAAGCGCGAACACGTACTGAAGCAGTGCGCCTGCGCAGAAGGGAGTGAACTGAAGTCTGCGGTGATTAGCTGGCTGCTAGATGAACTGAGCGCTCAGATCCTGTGAAGTATCTTCAAAAGACGCGGCTTTTGACGAGGGGGCACAATCTTTCTGTGCAGGCTTTGTAACTCCAAACCTGTAGCGACTGAAACTCCAAACCCCATTCCAAGGTTCAGATCCGGGGAATATCTTACCAAAAACCAATGCGTTTCGTTATTTTGGCTCACAAATCTGCGTAATTTACGACCAAACCAATTACGTGCACGTTACATGGTTTGGTTTGTTCAGGGTGTGGACTTTCTTGTGCAAGAGGAGTCAAAACTGACTCGTGTCAACGCCCTGATGAAACGGCTTACTAGTATCCAGTACCGCGCGATGCTGCAAAAGTGAATCCATTTGGCTCCAGTGATGAGAAACGCTACTCGATGGTCGGTAGTAGAACAAAAAAAAGGCATTTCTTTACTCATAGCAGGTGAAAGGGGCGATATTTCAGCTGCTCCATGCTCGTCGTCGCTTTTGTTGATCCCGTCGAAGGACTTGTTGCTCGAAAGGCTCATGTACTATGTCGCCTTGCGCAAATTGTAAAACCCGCCACGCTCTGCTTCCCATATCTGCGTAGCCGGTCGGGCAAAGCTCAATGACAAGCGTGTCAACACGGACTTCATCGTGTCCGTGATATCGACAAGCGTGTTGGTAATAATAATATTACGGCAACGGTGAGGTCACACAGTAGATAGTCCCATGTAAGCGGTTGTGAGCACCACGGATCCGCGGCAGCCTTTGCGAATCTTTGAGCAGCGATATTAAAGCTTCCTCAACGACGCCCAGACTCTAGTTTTTTGTGGCCACAAACGTATCATGTAGTCTGCTCATTTCAACCTTGCCGGAAAGTGGGGTGTGCACCGTTGCCTCCATTCCGCCCAACCCTGTCAGCTGCTACTTCCTCCCTGTAGACCTCCTCCTCCATCACGTGTACTGCTTTGACAGCGTTGCTGGCTTCGAGCTCTCCATAGCCACCGGAAAAGGCCCTGTTGGATGCTGCGTATTTCCATATGAGCGGTTGTTCTCGCTTGATTATGACCCCGTTCATTTGGGACCTACGTACTCAAACCACACAACCGATCATTACGAAACACAGGTCTGTTCTAGAATCTCACCCGTACCGTAGAAATAACTATCCGTCAGGATTCTCCTGCAATCCCCTGCTAATATATTGCGAGCGCGACGATTGTCAACACTTGAAACAGAGCCCCCAATTCAATCTGGATTCTTCAACAGAGACCATCATTAGAATTATTGAACAATGGACTGCTTCAAAGGTTGAGATCGGGTAGCGTTGAACGTGTCACATGGGAGTTCATAGTCTTCCGCCTGACGCTGTAGATTGATTTAGGACGTCAACGGAGCTGTTGAACATGCATCTGCTACTTTCGCTAACGGTAGTGAAGGTGACACGCTAAGAAGCTCACCAACGAATCTACATTGCAGCCTGCTTAGGGACGATTTTGTTAAGATCATGCAGGACAGCTGATAACATCACCCCAAACCATTTTGACTGAATCGATGCAGCCAAAACAGCCCGTCGCAAGGCTCGTGTACGTCACCACTAAATAATCACAAGTTAGTTAATAATGCCGACCCTGTCATTTGTCGCCCCACAGCGCGCCTCGTGCCACCAGTATACCAGTATATCAAAGAGAGGATGATAGTGTGTGTGTGTGTGTGGGGGGGGGGGGGTTAAACGCCAAGTTACTGCCCCGCCGTTAAGCCGGATGGAAGCATCCACAGCCAGCATACATCTGTCTTCGATATTGTATTGTCTAAGGAGCTATGCTATCACTCGATTTGGTATTACTAGTTTTAAAGTCTGCTTGAAACTGGCATAGCTCTCGGACAATAACATGCGGGGTCATATATTGGATAGTGCTGTATAAAACAAGGCGGTGAGCAGTGCACACTAAAGTATAAAGTCACTGATGGAAATCGTCGTCCAGAATCAGGGGATTGGTTCTCAGTTGAGGTGATCGCATCACCCGCTTTTATTGTTTTGTGGGTATCTCTCTCTTTTAGAGTTTGGCCAATATGGCTTTTTGGATGCGTTGGTGGACTTAAACTTGAGAAATCACTGGCAATCCTGGCTCAAAGGGTTTTAGCTAAGGTTACTACGAGTACGTGGAACCACCCGATGAGCCATACTGAAGTCTGCTAGCAAATATTTTTTTTTTGCTGTGACGGATGATGTTCCTGGTAGTACAGGAAAAGAAAGACGTCAAAGGTTTTTTTTTCTTGGACAAACTACGTCATTACTCGAAGCCAGCTACATTAAAGCGTCAGTGCCATCGCTAGCGCTTGCTTCAGTTCCTCTTGCGGCGGCCGTTGCACTTGGTTTTGGTCGAAGGTCGAAATTACCGTGGGGTCCTGGTTAGCAAAGTTCGCGTCTACACCGGGTTCGTCGGTGGATGTCTCATTCCAAGCACCAGCTTCGTCAGAAACCTCCGACTGAGTTACACTCTCGTCTCCGGCGGGTTCCCCCTGTTGCGTCGAGTCGCCGTTCTCCGATGATTTCGTGTCGCCGGACTTGTTGTCGTCGGACTTGCTCTCATCCGACTTGTCGTTACCCTTCGATGATTTCGTGTCGTCTTGCTTGTTGTTGTCGTCGGCCTTGCTCTCGTCCGATTGCCATTGCTAGATTTTGACGAAGCCTCATTATTGTCGTCACCGTCTCCGCTTGCTTTCGAAGGTTGAGTGTTCTGCGAGGTTTCGTCATTGTCATCGTTGGGTGAAGCAGGAGCCACAGTGCTGGGTTTTTGCTCAGCGTTGTCGTCATCTGAAGACGCTGGAGTCGAACCACCAGCAGCTTGAGAGACGTCGCCGTTGATATGCACGTCACTCTCGGAGTACTGGCACAGTGGCGGAGGCGGACCATCACCCAGCATGGATGGCTCGCCGTCTGCATTGCCCTGAGACCACTGACAGATCTTCACCTTCTTCTTTCCGCTGGACTTGACCCAAATGTTACTCAGTGTGGCCTCATCACCCCAGTTCTTGTTCACCGTCACGACGGCGTTGCCCGGGTTCACGATGTACACATTGGACACTGACACCTTCTTCGGTCTGTCACCACAAGTGCCACACGAACGGTAGAGCTTGCGGATATCTTCACCATAGAAACCGTCGATCTCGACGGTGCCGTATCCGTTGTGCTGGATCACCTTGTCATCGGCAGAGCGGGCGCCACCGCCAATGACCTTGGACACACTGGAGGCGGTACCGCCCTTGATGCTGAGGGCGTCCTCGCACACATCATCCCACCATACATTGTCAATGGTGCAGTCGTGCTTATCACAGTGGACACCTTCCATTTGGTTCTTGCCGATTATGGCGTTCTTGAGGGTGGCACCAGGTTCCATCATGAAGACAGCGGTGTCGGACCCACTCTCCGTTTGGCCCTCGCACGAGATGTCGGAGCGCTCGAACGTTTGCATCTTGCCGTCGAATATCTCATCAGCCTTGATTACGTGTGCCTCAGTGAATTGGACGTTTCCGGTACTGGTGGGCCAAGTGCCGTCGGGTACCTTCCCACCGCCCGAAGAAGGAGTACTGCCGCCTCCTGCGGTGGTCTGGCTACCCGCTGAAGAAGTTGCACCACCCGATGTCTGGCCACCGCTTGGAGGTGTTTCGGGTGCATCGGACGAGGTTTGGCTACCGTTTGGAGATGTCTCCGAGTCACCAGATGAATCTTCGGTCTCGCTATCATCTTCGCTCTTGTCGCTCGAGTCCTTGGAGTCGACAGGAGTTTGAGTCTTTTGGGATTGCTGAGAAGTGTTGCTGCCGTCGGATGGTTTGTCCGGAGCAGAGGGTGCGCTGGGCGATGAAGCACCAGATTTAGAAATATCCTGGTTAATGTGCACGTCGCTCTCCGAGTACTGACACAGAGGTGGCGATGGACCGTCACCAAGGTTTAAGGGTTTGGCTCCTCCCTGGGACCTTGACTTCGTTGCTGCCGTCCGAAGTCTTGACCCAAATGTTGCTAAGTGTAGCCTTGTCACCGTAGTTTTTGTTCACCGTGATGACACTCACTTGAGGGTCTACCGCGTACACATTCTTGATTGTCACGATGCGGGGAACGTCACCACAAGTACCGCACGAACGGTAGAGTTTACCAAATTCCTCGGCGTAGAAGCCGTCGATGTTGACTGTGCCCTGACCATTGTGTTGCACCACCTTGTCCGAGGCCGATCGGGCGCCGCAATTAGTGACTGTAGTCACACTGGAAGCGGTTCCGCCCTTGACACTCAGAGCGTCTTCACACACGTCGTCCCACCACACATTCTCAATGGTACAGTCATGGTCATCACAGTGCACTCCTTCCTTTTGGTTCTTACCAATAATGGCGTTCTTCAGAGTGCCCCCGGCCTCGACGAGGAACACGGCTGTGTCCTTCTGCCCCTCACCTTCCGAACAGGTAACATCCGAACGGTCGAACGTCTGCATCTTGCCGTCGAAAACTTCTCCAGCCTTAATGATGCGTGGCTCGGTGAATTTGATGATTCCGGTGCTCGTAGGCCAGGTGCCGTCGGGTACCTTTCCACCGCCGGACGAGGGAGGGGTACTGCCACCGGTTTGGCTACCTTCCGACGAAGCTACAGGCTCTTGCTTCCATGAATCTCCACCAAAATCAGTTGACTTTGATGATCCGTCCTTGTTTCCATTCGCGTTTTCATTTGAGCTTTGACCTTCCCTAGACAATGGTGAAGAGGAGAGTTTGTCACCGTTATCATCGGACTTCCCACTCGAATCCCGTGAGGCATCAGGTGTATCGTTATCGGAGTCTTCGTTAGACGAAGCTGGCGACCAGGAGTTTGAAGGTGCGTTCGTGGTGTCGTCGTCATTGTCAGCAGGCTTTTGGTCGTCTTCAGATTCCTTGCTACCGGTACCCTCCAATGTAACAGGTGCATCTGTCGGTTGCTGCTCATGAGAATTAGCTGCGTACTGTGCCATGTCACCCCACGAATCGTCTGCTCCAGTTATGCTAAGAGCAAAACCGAGCAGAGCCACCACAGAGACAACCGTGCCGGTTCGAATCTTAACCATGGTGATGAATTGATCAGCAGCAGGGCGTCGTAGATGTTCTTGAGAGGTAGTGGGGGCAGTAGTGAGCTACTGGACAAATTGGTAAATGATGCTGGGGCTACTTAAGACGGTATTATTTAATCGCGACATTGCATGTCGTACTGTACAACACATGCTTGCTTGCTCCATTGCTTGGTTCATTAAAGCAGTGCTCCGCTTTGAAAATAAATCTTGCGCGAGCAACAGCTTTGCCCATCGAATTCACAATCTTAAACATACAGACACGATCATCGTGACGACCGATATTCACGATATAGGGTGTGTTTTCTTTTGTTGTCGACGCTTTTGACCCAAGCTCGGGATACATTTCTCGGTTTGATACTAAACTTGCATATATCTTAACTTATTTATTGAGCTCCTTTTTTACTGTGAAGGAAGTCGACAGTGAAATACTTAAATTGAACATTTTACGAAAACTCCACATCACTCGCAAAAGTCGTGCTGTCCGCCTGTCCCCTTATTCACTGAAGTACAAAAATACGTGCAGGAAACAGCAAACATAATACGTGATGATGATGATGGTACTCGTTACTAGTACCATCATCATCATTGGTACGAGTCTCGTATGGGGACAATTCACGAAGCAGCGGTTGGTAATTGCAGACCAATGCAAGCATAATACAGCATGACGATGATTTTACATTTACCTCTGCCTATTAAATCATCAACGTATAAAGAAACTTTTTTTTGTTTAGAACTCAATTTATCGGTTTAGAAAACAAATTTGCTTCACAAGATGCTTGCGATCACGCTTCCTGCAGCGAAAACATTCGTCGATCATAATGATATGTCGACGCATGTTTTTCGTGGCGCGGGAAGCGTGATTGCACGTATTACGTATTGTCACCATACAGACCATTGACATACGTTCAACAGGTGGTTTTCGAGTGCAATGAGGTGCCGAAAGTGGGTAATATCCATTGATACGGCTAAATGACAATGACGAGGACACGCCAGTATGTAAAGGGACTTAAAGGCGGTATCTTCTTGACGGTCTGTGCTCTTAACTACATAGTTATTCGCTGCTCGTTGCCTTGCCAGCTTGCAATGCTAATCGAATTTTTACAGTTACCCAGGGAATATTAGCTTCACCATCTACTTGTTGAGTCCTTTAACGTGGTTTTTAATAAGTACATACGTGACAAGGTGCCGCAGCGATGGCAAAATGCTAGGCGTCAACACTTGCTAAGACTCGACCATTTTGTAGCTCCACTCGATAATCCATTAAAGGGCATTCGAAAACCATTCGTGCCCGTTCGACAGGTTGAGGTGTTCAAACCAACGCAATCGCTCACAAGAAGTAATGTACATGTAGCCAAACAAGCACAGCTAGCAGCCTTCGAACGTGCAGAGCGGCGTTCTGAAGATTTTTCTCTCTCATAGTGTTCACCAGAGCAGAAAGATTTTGTTCGTTGGGGCATGTGACAACCAAAATCACAATCGTTGCTTTAGACTGCAGTACTAGAGTAAAATATTACATTGCTCTTGTGGATGACCTGCAGATCCATAACGGGCCCCTTTCGGCACTGGGCCGGTACATGTAGTACTGTATTGTGAGCTACTGATGCCCATTTGCACTATCGACGCAAAAAGATAAAATCTGAACGAACAAGCGATTTATGTTTAAACTATGTGGAATACCGCATTGTTTTAACCCTTCACCCAAAAATCTGGGGTATATGTTTTTGGCAGATGCTACTGTCCATGCGCCGACTGTATGCTTTTACCATGCAGCCACGCCAGGTGTTGTCCATAAATTACGTTCTGCGTAATTTATATCCATACTGAAATCAAGTATTTACCGCCGATCAGTTTTTCACCGCATCAAGTTGCTGCTAAGTTGCATTGTCAATTTTGTAGTCCATGTATTGAGTCCACGTATAATCCATAAATCACCCGTGCATTAGGCATGAACACGAACACAGGTAACGTTAGTATTATAGTCCATGTATCGAGTCCATGCATTGGTCAGATATCCTCCGTGTATTTAGACTCAAATTAGATGGGCTAGTTAGATCTACCATGGAGCACTAGCTGAAGCATGTGAAAGCGCAATATCGTGAGACCTTTTGGAGTTACATCCAGCGCAATGCTATTGTCTACCATTCGCCAGTGTAACGGGGTACGTAGCCCTAAGTGTACCCTGGTTACATGAAGTGTGACACTTCACACTTCAGGAGTATGACACGTCATACTCCGAGATATTTGGTACAAGGTACCAAGGTCGTTCAAAGCCAACCATTGGTTAAATGACATTGCATTTCTATAGGTAACTAACAGTTTGTATTTAACCCAAACTTAATCTACCTATAAATATACTCAGTTTACAATCTACCTTATTTGGGTCACTTCGCTCTCTTTAATAAAAGAGGGGACCTGTGAACTGCCGTTCACTGAGAGTTTGTATACTCTCGAAAGATAACTTCCTCTTGCGCAAGGTGCTGTGTGACCCCGTCACACTTGGTAGCACTTGTAGTCAATCCACGCCATCGCGGGTAGACTACCTGAACCTTCGAAGCTCGTTGCCATGGATAGGAACGACTTCTCCCATTTGAACGACTCTCAGTTCGAGTCGGTTCGGAAGATGGCAGGCATCTTCGGGATGGAGGCCCTGCAGAGCCTGGTGGTGTCAACACCGGCTGAGCAGCTCGAGCGCGTCAATGCATTCGACGCGTACGAGCAGGGCCTCATCGCGCATGTGCGGGAGAACCTGCAGGCTCCGGCGGCGGAAGCAAATCCGCCTCACCCGAAGCCAATACGGCTGAAGGTAAAGCCGTATGAAGGGAAGGAAGGCGAGAACCTTCACTTCTGGGTCCGAGAAGTAGAGCTCGCGATGGACGCGGCTCTGATCTCGACCGAGCAACTGCGTGCTGCTTTTGCACTCTCCAACCTTAGCCGGCGTGCTAAGAGTTGGGTGTACACTCGGGAAGCAACATCCCCTGGATGTTTCACATCCTAAGCTCAGCTGTTCGAACAGCTCCGAGCCGCGTTCCTCCCGGCGAACTACGAGTACCGCTAGCGTTCGCGCTTCATCGCGTGCAAACAAGGAAGGCGCGAACTGCACGAGTATGTGCAAGAGATACGGGAGCTCACGGCGTCCCTAGTGGGAAACCCACTCAATGAACACATCAAGATGACTGTGTTCATGGACGGCCTTCGAGTGGGCCCCGCACGCACTCAGCTGTTCCGGGTGCAGGCAAGCACCCTTGAAGAGGCGACTCAAGTGGCTCTTCAAGAAGAGTACAGCCATCGCCAGGCGCGTACGCCGGCCTCAGCGTGGCCTGGGAGCTCCTTGTCGGCTCCCGGTCGAACAAGCCCCAACGGACCAGTTCCCATGGAACTCGGGTCCGCCGAACAGCGTGACATCCGCTGCTTCGGCTGTGGGAAGATGGGCCACTTCAAGCGCGACTGTCCCGCGGAAAGACTCCGCAGACGGTCCTTCCCCAAGCCCGTCCTCAAGGGTCGCTTGCAGAAGCCAGGATCCTGGGGACAGGGGAACGCAGGGAACCAGTAGGGGCGGGGCGCCCTACTGGGGAAGAACTAAGTCTTCGTGATGGGTGCGCGGGTGGCGCGTACCACGGGGACTTAGCCCCTGAGAGTCTTCGCACTCTCGAATCGGCGAAGAGCAGCGGCGGGTTGCTCGTAGTACACGGATGTGTACGGGGATACGATCATCCCTTTAGAATCTTGATTGACTCTGGGGCGTCGAAGAATTTCGCACGCCGCCAGACGGTTGCTCGTAACAGCAGCAAGCTGTCCGAAGCTTTGAGAGAAAGCAAGGGCAACGGGACGGTGTCAGTGCGACTGGCCGACGGGAAGGTCGTCACTGTCCCCAACATCCAAGTGGATCTGGCTGTCAAGTTTGAAGACTTTGACAGCCTCGAACAGTTCACTGTTCTTGATATGGATCCATATGATATGATCCTTGGCATGCCCTGGCTTGAGAAGCACGAGCCCTGGATCGACTGGCGAGGCAAGGCAATCGGTGCCAGCCGCCCTGCGCAGTCCGACAGAGCATTGGTGAGTCATGTTCCCACCTCTGTCAGGACCCGGGGCGCCCGCGAGGGCTGCCAGGGTACCAAAGCATCCGGCAGATGCTTGGGAGTCGTCGACGTATATGACGACTCCAAGGATGTTTTGATGGTGGCCGCGCCCAGAAGAGGCGTCGGCCAAGTGAGTAACTTAGGTCCACAGGCGGGTAACTTAGTTCCGCAGACAGCTGCAGCTGTCATGAACACTGAGAACAGCGTGTTCAGAGTGGGTAACAGAGCTCCACTCACGGTCGCCCAGACCTTTACTGAAGAGGTAGACGTCGGATACGCTTCCTGTGTGGGTAACACAGTGCCACACGCGGTCGCCCA